AGCCGCTGAGGTACTTACTGACGATATCTTTGCAGGTCCTTTTCCAAAAGAGCAAGGTAGGCGAATATTATTTTTTTCGCAAATTGTTCGAGAAATAAATCTGAATTAAATTGAATTAGGTTACTAATAAAATACGCATTATAATAATCATAGAATAAACACGTTTTAAAATCGAATTTTGTAAAAAGGCAATAGGTTACTATAAATATATTCTAAAATTGCATCAGTTGAGCGCAATATTTCTGCATTCATATATCTGCACGAAGTAGTTAAAATCACAAAGATTACACATATAAAAAATTATAGACAATGACTTATTTGTAAAAGAAGTTTTTTTTTAATAATTCCATTGTGCTATAAAATTAAAAAATAAAATAACATAATATTATAAAGCCCTAGTTTTTTATGAGGCTAAATAATAAGAATGGTCTGAATACACCTTTTCGTGAGAAATATACATCGAATAAAAGGTTAATTTTGGTCTCAGTGGCAACTCAAATTGCAAAATATTATAAACAACGACGCCTTTATTTTACTTGAGAAATTAAATTATTTATACGCCAGCATTTTTGTGCTCAATATAATATTAGTAAAAATTTAGCAGGCCAAATAAGGCTTCTTTCTCTAGCAACCAAATATAGGAATGCGAATCTTTTATTAATATTATATTGAGTACTAAAATTTTCAAACATAAACAATTTAATTTAATTTAAGGCAGAAGATTTCTAATTCAAAAAAGGTGTTGTTTAGAAGTTGTTTGACCTTGTTTTCGCAACTTTGTCATATTGGCAGGAAGACCTAGAAACACACCTTCTCCAGAGTCCATAGTTGGCATGATACATTCCAGAGTCGGAGCGTGGACGTGGTACATTCCCAGACGTTTCTACGGAATCTTAGTTGGCACCATCAGTGAGTCTTACCATTCTTAGCACTGACTATGCCGACTACGATGCCGGCGAAACGACCGAGAATGTATCAAGTCTACGCTCCGACTCTAGAATTTATTATGCATAATATACACTCCAGACGAGGTGCGTTTGTCTAGGTCTTCCTGCCAGTATGTCCAAGTTGAAAAAAAAGGCTAAAACAACTTTACAAAGAAAGGAGACTGCAACCATACAAAAGGCCACTACATCCTGGTTTTCATATCTTCGACTAAAGGTGTTGTTTTTTATAATATTTCGTAGTATTTGTTTGCTACTAGGACTAAAATAAACATTTTATTTTCGGTATCTTTACACCATTCTTGTTATCAGATTTCATGAAAAAATGGGTTATATGATATTATAATATATTATTAGTTTATTATATATTATGCTGGAATTATTATAACATCCTATACATCTGATTTAATGATTGTCTCAAAAAGCTATTCAAAAGGAATTATAAGTATTGTTTCGGGTACAATCGCAAATATAAGTTTTGCTTTATTGACATATAAAAACGTGCCTGACTTTCCATAAAATTCGTATCTTCCCTCTGACTCAAGATCACTATTGGTGTAGTCAATAACTTGTAGAGATTATATGCTACACTTTCATGGTTCGAGTTCTCCTTCGAGAGTCGAAGTCGAAATGCACAGTCAAAAATGTAGTCTTTTTGGATGAGAATACACTTTGGAAAGCAAGGCTAGGTGAATTTTAATAAAAATGCCATGATGATCATAATATTGAGGTAAAATTCAACTACTTCTCCCTCATTACCTTAAATGAAATGGGGTGAACATATATTATATACTTTATTTCGCTTTTAAATAAGTCAATTGCTCGATACTTTGATACAAATTTTAGTTTGAATAACCCCATTAATCAATAATGCTTGAGTAATCTTTATAACAAATTTCGGTTAAAATAAAAACAGGTGTTTTTTTCATTATTTTATTTTTTCATAAAACAAGGTTTTTAACAAAAAGACTATCCATATTTTTAATATATAAAAATTTTTTAAATGATAATCTATCTCATATATTTTACACTTTAACCATAAATTTTATTTTTGCATGAGTTAATTTTAATGGCTCATATTACAAGGTTATCAAAATTAGTTTATACTTATGTACAGATTTTGCTATGGATATGGTTTATCTTTAAAGAACATTTAGAATAGTAATATTATTTGATATAATTACTATTATTATAAAATATTTCGAAAGCAAATAAATAAATATTGCAGCACTCTATTCATAAACTTAGCACTATCTTATATTAGATCATTAATGCAATATAATAATAAATTAGTATGAAGAGGAGAATTAAAAAACATTTTTAGTATGCTAATATAAAGTTTTTACTATTAAGGATAATTTGGTTTCTAAACGCATTTACATGATGTAAAAGGCTATAAGAAATTATTGATAAGTGTTTTTTGACTTGCGAAAGTTGTATATATGTATTTTGCATTGTTCTTTAAGAAATGCATAAAATCGCCGATTGGATACTGCTAATATAATTTTGAAACTATTAGTTATATCAGCATAAAATAGGTATTTACTTTACTAATTAATTTTATTTAATTTTAATAACTCTCTTATCTTAAAAAAATCATTTACAATATATTCCATTAAATCATTTGTATTTGAAGATAAATATTTCATACATGCCAAAAATAAAACAAAAATTTTATCTTTCATTTAATTCTTTTCCCATTTGTGATTAACTCAGAGCCTCAAAGTTTGGCTGGAATAACTCGGCAAATAATCGCTATGCTGGCAGTTATGGTAATTTGCATATCTGTGCTACTCAATATCTTCTGTTGCATCCGATGCTCGCTCATTAAACAATATTCAAGTAGGCTTTTTCGCTAAATGCTATATTTATATTTATATGCCCTGATTTTTTTAAATAAGTGCTTATAAGGAACACTAATTTAATTACTTTAAAAAATCCGTCTTTAAGGCAAACAAATAAAACCGTTAAAGTGAAGTATATTCTGCTACAACATATTTATTTCACTAGGAATGTCTGTGATGTTTTTCAATTAGAAGTTCTAGCTAATGTTTCTTGCATAGTTAAAATAGTCATATCGATAACCATTTAAGTTTAGTTTAATCTCAAAGTTGCACCAACTTCAAAGGGACATTTGAATCCATAGCCTCAATATTAATTGGAATATGCCTGTTACTTTCTATACCAAATTATTTAAAATTTATTGCAAAAAAATGCGAATGCTTATTGATAGTATCATTAAAGAAGGCAGTTTTCACTCGAATTATTAATGGCAGATGTATACATCATCACTGATTAGATTTTGAAAGATTATCAGGGAATATCACATTTGCATCTGTATGTTGGCTAATATTTATATGAGCATCGTGTAAAACAGTTGATTATATTTATTGGAACAGAGGAAACAAAGAATGGTTGCTATATCTTAATGCATTTACCAAACTAAGTAGCTAGAAAGGGTCTAGATATTTGCGACTATGAAATTTATAATGAAACTTTGATAGCATGATAAAATTTGACTCAACTATTAGATTCATTTACCTTTACTTTTGAGACTGAGGTAGATTCTTTCGAAGAACTAAAATTATGTTGTGCATCTTGTATATGCTGCTATTTTTTAAATTAATTTAGATATTTAGAAAGAGGACCTTAACCTTAACGCCGATAGGGATAAAACATTAACGCATACAAATATTATGGCAAAATTTAACACAATTCTTTATTTATATGAGATTAAAGCTTCAGTTTGCTCTCTTCTTGATGGTCTATCGTGCAGAATCAAACCGACAAATTGTGATGCGCTCCCTCTTTTGCATGGACGAAGAGGTATCTACAGCCCGCAAGCTTCGTCGTAATCGAGGGCAAACAGGGCTTGATCCCGACGTTGAAGCATCTGAAACATCGGGCGGATTAACCAATAATAATGTAAATACTCGTAATACTCCCACAACTCTTTCCAACCTCACACACATCAGTCATAACCACAATACTTCTGGCTCTAAGCCCAACTATATGCCGAAAGGTCTGGTAAACTCTCTCTACTTGCATCCCTATCAACAGCAGCAACTCAGAATGGGAGATTCTGTCGGTGGTCTTGGTGTCGGCTTCGGCGTCGGGGGTGGTTTGACGTTCGGATTGCAGCGATTCGCCAAACTGACCGAGAAGTCCAGTCCAACACAAGCCGGCACACCATTAACCCAGCCCTCGATCGGAGGCTACCCACTTCCCAGCCAACAATCCATGCTTGAACTGGCCACTCTGTCGAACAAGTTGATGGTTGATCCGGACAAATTGGGCATGAGCACCTCAATGGGCATAGATCCGGATACAGGAGCAGCAATCTGCTATAGGTTTGTTGAACCGCCTCTTGTGTGTTTTTAAAACAAGCCTATCTATATTACTCTAAAACTGGCATAGTTACT